TGAATTTTAGCTAATATTTTCTCTTAAAAGCAAAATATTTCCATCTGGAGGAAATTGTGTAATGGGAAGTAATTTAGCACATACTAAATATATTAGTGGACTGCGGTTTTGGCTTACATTTGTTACAGTAAGAATTGTTACTTTGCTGTATGGACTGTGGCTGATATGTTATTATAGAAGTCACAAAGTTATAAGGAAATGTCTGAAATTGTTTATTTTGGATATTTTACCCCACCAGCACTATGGAACGTGCCCTTTCCTGTGGAAAAGAGAACGCTATTGCTTTTGCCTTTTTCGCAAGGGTGTGTTTTTCTCATTGTGTTTTCTCTCCACATGGCACATTTGTAAAAATTCATCAGCATTTCAGTGCAAATTTCTCTTAATATAGACATTTGGTGTACAATTTCCCATTTTTTGTACATTTGTGAATCATGCATTGTTATGCATATTTTACTCTAGTACATACATCACTTGGATAGAGAAATTTGCAAAATTTGGAGAAGTGCAAGTTTCGAAGTATGACTGAGATTCAGTTTGCTTATTGTATTGTAAAGTAAAAAAGGAGGCTGGTTTTGCCTTTAAATATGAACTGAATAAAATTTATCCTTTATCTGTACTTTTTGGTATGGTTGACTTATATACTCAGGTTCTTAGATGAGACTGCATTTTTGTACCTTTTAAAATGGTAGCTTGTTTGGCAGTCGTTTTTGGTTAAGAAGTGGGATATAAACACAGCAAATAAATCCTCACATTTGGGGGATTTCTTGACGAGCGCTTTAGATATTTTTACCGGCGAGTGCTAGCACTTTCTCTTTTCCTCTTGCCCTTAAAAAAACGCATCCTCAGCACCAGATATTAAACGTCAGCCTGTACCATAAATTGAAACAAATACATGTGATTGTAATCGTCTTGTAGATTTCTTAATTTATGTGGGCTGTTACATGCTTAAAACTAGTTTTCCTCCATCGAGTTTAAATGCAGTAATGTTCTTTAAAAATATAAAATGATTAAAAATAAAAATATTAGAATGCCTGAGAAACTGTGGCGTGAATCAAGCCTTATGAGGAGCGGTTGAAGGAGCTGGGTGTGCTTAGCCAGGAAAAGAGGAGATTGAGAGGAGATACGATAGCCATCTTCAAATATCTGAAGGGCTGTCACATGGAGGAGGAAAAGCTTGTTTTCTCCTGCTCTGGAGGGTAGGACTCGAACCAGTGGCTTCAAGTTGCAAGAAAGGAGATTCCAACTAAACATCAGGAAGAACTTTCTGAGCTGTTCAACAGTGGAATGGTCTCCCTCAGAAGGTGGTGAACTCTCCTTCCTAGGAGGTTTTAAAGCAGAGGTTGGGTGGCCACCTGTCATGGATGCTTTAGCCGAGATTCCTGCATTGCAGGGGGTTGGACTAAATGACCCCTAGGACCCCTTCCAACTCTAGAATTCTATGATTCTATGAATCAGCTGCTTTAGAAATGCACACTTGGCTTTTGCCAAGGATGGAGGAACCTGCAATGTCAGTTTCTCATTTTTCATAAATTTGCTTCTTCATTTTCACATCAATCTGCAATTTATTTATTTTTTTAAAAGTTATCTTGACAATTCATCAGCACTCCAGTGAGAATTTCGCCTAATACAGTGGTACCTCTGGATGCGAACGGGATCCGTTTCGGAGCCGCATTCGCATCCTGAAGTGAACACAATCCGCGTATGCACATCTGCGTCTGCGCGGGTCAATTCGCCGCGTCTGCTCATGCGCGTGGCGTCATCTTGAGTGTCTGCGCATGTGCGAGCAGTGAAATCTGGAAGTAACACGTTCCATTACTTCTGGGTCGCCGCAGAGCGTAACCTGAAAATGCTCAACCTGAAGCACATTTAACCCGAGCTATTTTTGCAAACAATTTCTCCCAACACACACATTTTTGCAAATAATTTCCTCCAAATACAAGGCATTTTGGTATGTTATTTTCAATGATCTGTGGGTTTTTATAGGCACACTATGTGTTTTTGTACACATTACCTGGCTGGAGAATTGCATTGCAAAATTCAGAGAATTGTGCCTATCAAAATGTGGCAGTTTCACATAATGCTTTGGAAAGTGTGAATCGGGGAGATTCACCTTTAAATGCAAACTGAATTGAATTTCTCCCGCATTCCTACTTTCAACCAAATGGGTCCTCAAGAGAAATTGGCAATAAATAATTATGCATTTGTGAAGCTAGGCAACAGAAAATCCTGACGGCGTCTTTCCTCCTTAATGCTCAAGGCATCCCATGCTTTTTGGTGCTCCAGATATGGGATCTCTGAAGAAGAGGAAAATCCACTTGTAAACCATCTGACACAAGAGAGGAGGAGGCTAATTCTGGTCAGCGGAGAGATTTGTAATGGAAATCTCTACCCGGCATATGGAAAAATGACTCTTGCTGCAAAAGGAGGAAAATATAAGAGGGATTATGCAGAGCTTAAAAGCATGCAAGTGCTTCCAACGGATGAATGATTAAATTGAAAATGGCAGCCAGTTCATGAAGAAAACTGACCTGGCTCTGTCTGCAAAACAAGGGACTGCATCAGAGGCTAGGTGAGGTTAGGTGGGTAGCTGGGTGGGCCTTTTTGGTGTTGGCCCCCTTGTCCTGTTCTTCTCCAGGGAGGTGGCAACACTTCTCTCAGACAGAAAATGCAAGGCCTTCAGTGTAGTG